AATATTTCACTCTTTCACTGTTTGCCAGCCTGGAAATAGAGAGTGATGGGACCATTTAGAGCCAAGAGTGAATACACTCTGACATAAGACCTGACAATAGAACAGGCCATTTCTTTTCACCGGTGACCTAAGATTAGACATCCCACATGGAATTCCCTGCAGGAGAGATTAGTTTCTGTGATACTGGTTCACTGTGCTCTGTGTGTATTTTATGTGTGAGCTTCAATGAGACCTTACAACATATCTATATTAATATGGGACATTTTTGTAGTTTCTAAGCTAAGAACAGTAATCAAATGTTTTATTAAGATTGTTGAAAAAGCATATGCATGTCAAAATAAATTCAATAATTTATTAAAGAATAATTGCTGTATTAATATTTCATATTTATATCCTTTATATCCGCCTGTTGGGATAAAACTACTAAAGACTGAAATTACTCCTATGTATATATCAAATATTCATTGTTAAAATTTTATTTTTGAGTTTTCTTATTTTTCAGGAAGTCTCATATAATTGCTTAATGAAGTGTCCAGAATTCAACAATAAAAAATCTGCTACACTTTTTAAGTGATAATCATTTCTAAGTTTAACTCATTAATGCATTTTAAAGGGACTTGACACAGACCTGTGTCTATAGTTGTACCACTAGATCTCAGTGCTCCATTTGTGGGGATCAAGTGAACAAAAATGGGCTTGTTTATATAGTTATTTGTCAAGCAGATTCCAGTACACACACACCCACATGCTTTCACTTGCCTAAATTATCAGCCTTATGGAATGCTGTTATGTTATGATAATGATTTTTGTTATGCTAATGATTTTTAGCTATACTGCCACAGGTGTGGCAATAAATCGACCTCTGGAATAATATTAAAAAAAAACTTGAAAAGGAAAAAAAAATCCCTTTCATTTCTATCCTTTCTCCACTTCTTAGCTAATGTGTGCTCAAAATGCTCTGCTTGAAAAGCCTTCCCTCTATGATGTCATAAGGGGAATTAAAACTGTCCAGAGCAGTCTGTCTGTAGCTGCCAATTTGTCAAGCTCCAGCCTTCATCTAATGTATTATCCCCCACTTTTAGCTACAGTGCTACCTTTATGAACTCTGACTGGTTGTCATGGCAGCAGGTTGAGGGGGCACGGCCTTCTGGAGGAAGGGATGTCAGGAAAGCCAAGAGAAGTTGTCCAGATTAGGCTAAAGGGCAGATTAGACTTCTGCAACCGCACACATCAAATGTTGCTTGGGTCTGGAAGCGAACCAGTTTTGCTGGTATGCTTCTGCACCGTCGGTCTGGAATTTCTAGAGATGCACAGCAGTTTCCCGCCAAAGCAGAAGGGGGAGCCTATTCGAGAACTTGCAAGAACGTCAACGGATAGTACTTCCAAACCACCTCGATAAACCTTTCGTCGCAGTTGTCCATTGTATTTTTATTCTTAGGTTTTTAAAAATGGCGCGCCCTGGCACCAAATCGAGGAAGGATGACCACACAGACAGCCAAAAGGACCAATAACAGCTGCTTTTTGTCTGCGCAGGTTTGCGACCGTCCGACGCATAGTCAGGATTTTTTTGAGGTGTACGACGACGGTTGCAAAACCTCTGAGAGGGGGGCGTGGTCGTGCACAGAGACAGATTTGACGGTTGGTGAGACTGTGCGTCAGAAGCATAAATTGGCCTTAAACGAGGAGGTTTTTGGTACATTCTGCCTAATCTGAGAGGAATTTTCCTGCACAAATGACAAAAACCTGCTCTGGGGGCATTGTTAATATTTTACATTTTTAAAGGTAGAATAATATCAGACCTTTGAATCCCATATAAACCAAATTTTCACGTCCACAAAATCCTATCCCAAAGTGACAAAACATGATGACTCCATGCATTTGAAGGCTGAACCATTGTAATTCTTAACTATCAGGAAGTCCAAAAAAGGCTGTTCAAAGTCCTAAACCAGCATAAAAGAATTAAAAACAGTTGATCAATTTTAGACGGTTTCCATTGGCCTGATGTTGAATTCCTAATCCTCCACATCTAAACTGCCTAATCAAGTTACATCATACTTCAGACATGACTGTCTCATATGTTTCCAACGGACTGCTTTTCTCACAGGCTGCAGATTTAGAGATGATTCATAAAGTTTCTAAAAGAATGGTGGGCAGACTATATCTTATATTTTGCAGGCTCCTTTCCTTGGAACCTACTGGTTTTAATCCAGCTTGTCTACAATCATTTTCTTTTCCTTTCACCCATCCTCACCCTGCCATATTATCCTGCCTCTATCCAAATTGGGATCATCTGCTTTGTTTTTGATAAACCAATTCTTATTTTATCTCCGTTTCTTTCCCTCTCTTAATAGAAGCTACATCTATCCTAGTTTTCTGTTTAGCTCTGATATCTTCTGGGAGAGATCTGCTGCCAACAGCTTCCCTTTCTCATCCCATTAAAGATGTCCATGTATCTGTCTTTTAGCCATCAATGTGTCTCTTTTAGATATTCCAAAAGAAGGAGATATTCTGTAAATCAGTTTGTCCTTCCAATGCTTTCACAACCAGCACATAGCTTATCTGTTTAGCTGTGCTTCTCTCCTCGATGAGGCAAATAAAGGAGCTACTGCTGCAAACAACTCTATTCTTCTGTAACTCAGAAAGCACTCCAGGAACTGTGCTTCTGTGTTACTTGTGTGTTTTTCCAAGTGTTTCATAGCAGATGGCCGCTTGCACTGAGCCGGGTTCTGAAGGAGGTTTCTTTCTGTTAAAGGGGAGATTTCTTTCCCACTCTTAACATGTTGCTTAAAAGAGATTGCTGCAAAGTTAGGGGCTCAATGCAATCGACAGTGTACTGTTGCAACATGATTGCTGCCAAGTCTGTGGCTTGTTGAAATTGGTTGGGATTTCCATTCTTTCTGAATTTTTTGAGAAATAGATTAAACTTAACTTTAATGTCTATTTACTGGAACTGAACAGGGACGTTTATTGACTACAAATCAGTTTATAGGATTAAACTAAATTGACTATAGTTATGTTTTTTGTGTAGTGAGAAGATATTTTTTATGTATAATATTTATATATAATATTATATAATAATATATAAATTTTATGTATATAATAAGAGATGGATCAATACATTGGCCTGTCTATATTTTGGGCTGATTAGCGGTTTCTTCTTGTAAGGGAATCAGCTGATGAACGCATGCATTGGCTGTTTCATTAGTGCAATCAGCAGCCACGTCTACACATCACTTGAAGTGCATGCACTGCAGGAACCTCCATTTGCTATTCATTGTAAAAGTTTTTTTGGATTTGATATTAAATGTTTTCTTTTTCTTATCAGATAGACACTTGTGTAAACTCTGGTATCATTTGTGTGGAGCTAAAAAAAAAACAATACTGGCTTAAAAGAAAAAAAAAATTGACAGCACATTGTGGATATCATTTAGACTGATAAAATTATTGTATCGGCCAATTCTAATAGAAAAAATTAATTGAACTCACTGAATTAATCCATTATTAATTAATACCGTAATAAATAAACGGTGTACATTTTTACTAGCTGTGAAAAGATTCACTCATTTGATTTAGAGTTTTATTTAAATTTTCACCTTTAAAATATTTCATAGTTTATGTAATTACTATATTTTTGTACACAGCTCAACAACCTGAAGCATTTTTGTTTCTGTGCAATTTTAAAAAGCTTCTCATTTAAAATAAAAAGTCTAAAATGTAAACATTCAAGAACCTTTGGCATCTTCAGTTCATTCAAGAGTTTGACAGGTTTCCGAATCTAGACCAGTTTGTTTTTCTCTCCTGTCACTTTGCTGTCGGCGGTCTCTCTGGCCTCTGTAGCCTTTCGCACTAATGTTGGCAGGTACAATATGATGAGCACAAGTTTAATTCACTGGAGCCCAGTGGAATAGCTAATCTTGGAACAGTAAATCCAGTCAGTTCTCACCGAGAGCACAATCTCAACTCACACCACCCAGCTGCAGTATCAGAACACAAACACAGCCAAAGTAAGAGAGAAGAAGAGAGCTAAAACAAATCCTCGAGAGGGCCACAGCCTTGTTTGTCTACATCTAAACAAGATTATCAAACAGACCAGCTTTCTGTCAGTCACACATCTAAGCCCTCTCTCCCAAATGTAATTTTATCTTGCCATCCTTAAACCGCCGGTATCCACTGATGTTGTTATTATGCAAGTTGAAAACATTTGTCAGCAGCCAGGATTTCAAAATCTATTTGTCATATTCTGAGATTAAAGGTCCTAATCTCAGTGGCACAAGCATGCATGATTCAAAATACAAAGCAGTGCAGTGCCCTAGAATGTCACACCGCACAGATCCCATCAGAAGCAAGGTTTAGTGTAATTAAGACTTAAATAAAAAATGTGGTTTATGTTCTCCAAATACATCTGTTGGCAGCTCCTAAAATAGATCATCTTATTTATATCCGGATGAGAGGAAATGTGTAATGACACACAGCTGATCAAAAATAAAAATAACTAACTTTTAGGTGCTATAATCTTTGCGTTTATTCAGATTTATGCTTAATTTCAACTGGATTAGGGATCAGATAATATCTTGTAGCTTTGTCTAATCATACTTTGACCCCAGTCAAACCCGATCAATGGAAACTGAATCATCAGTCTATATCAGGGGCCCCTAAGGGCAGTTCTTGAGAGACGTCCTGTAGCATTTAAATGGATTCCAGCTCCAAAACACTACAGTCAAATAGCTAAGATAGCCACAAGGCATGTCATCAAGTAATTGGCTATTAATATGATTGACATGTTGGATCAGCAATACATTTAAAGTTGCAAGATAGAGTCTCTGAAGAAGTAAAGTTGAAGAAATGTAGTCTGTGATCTCTTAAAGTGTCCTTTTCTTGGAAGGTGACCTTTTAAGCCTTTTCAAGGATACCAGCACTTTTTTTTCTAATTAAGAAACAACTGTGGCTTGTCATTACAGGACAATAATTAACTGAACTGTAAAAAGATAAAAGCTTCTTACCTTTCAGTTTCTCAATGGCGCTCTGCCCTGCTCTCTCGGCCACCTGCCCATCCTCCCGTTGATAACGGTCATCCAGGAACTGGGCAGTTGCTTCAGACAGATGGACCTTTCCTGCCACACCCAACTGCTCCATCAGGTTGGCCAGATTGACATCATTTGACCACACATCAAACTTGAACCTTTTTATTCCAAGGATCCCGCAAAGCACGGTGCCGGTGTGGACGCCGACTCGCATGTTGACAGTCTCGCAGGTCTCCTGGCAGAACTGTTCGATGGCCTGGATCATCCCTAATCCCATATCAACGCAGCAGTAAGCGTGGTCTTCTCTGGGCTCAGGGCAGCCTGCCACACAGTAATAGCAGTCTCCTAGAGTGCTGATCTTCTCACAGCAGGTTAATTCGCAGAGTCTGTCAAAACGTCCAAATAGGTCATTAAGGAGACCCACCAGAGCTGGTGCCTTTTTATTGGCTGACATTTTTGTGAAGCCAACAATATCGGCAAAGAGGATGCTCACAGGCTCCATGCGTTTCATGTTAAAGGGCCTGAATATTATTTGTCCTCTGGGTATGGAGGTCTTTTTGCGTCTGTGATTGCTATGAGGGTTATTCTTAGAACCTATTACACTTTGGCTTTGTAGGCCTCCTCCACTTCCTCCACAGCCCACTGCCACAGCCGAGGCAGAGCAGGCACCAGAGGAATATCTCTTGCCAGAGCTCTCGCCGCCGCCCTCATCGTCCCCCTGCTTCATCAACTCATCTGCAACTCGTCTCGGCATGACCGAGTGGATCATTCGCTCCTTCAAGGCCTTCTCCACCTCCAAGTCTCTGCCATGCATTATGGCTTGGCCCACTTTGAGAAATGTGCTGCGGGAACGCACTTCGGACATGATAAAAAGGTGGATGCCAATGACGTGTGCACATAAGTGAAGCAGACCTTTGGCCGGACCAAGCCAGAGGAGCATGTTTTGCAAACCTGACACCTGTCCAGTAGCTTCATAGCTCCTTTGAAGCAATGGCAGCCATCCAAAAGCCTCAAATAAAACAGAATATAGGAGGCCTAGCATCACTGAGGCATACAAACGGATATGCAGGACGCTGTATACTAATAAAAGGACCTCCATGCAAAGGGAAAAGGTGCCGACAGGGGAGATGCACGACATCTGATGTGGAACCTCTTTGTTTAGAGAGATGTAAGAGGCGTTGACTTCAGCAGCCCAATCATATGTAGCGGTTTGCATCTGTGGAGCCAAAGTGATGGCAAATGTAAGGGCTATTAGCAGCAGGGAGGTCTGGTTGTACAGCCACATGTATGGCTTGGTGAAGGTGAACAGAAACAGGAGCAACAGCAACGTCAGGAAGGAGGCAGTGGGAGCAAGAAAAGTCACAGGGTGACAACGGCTACTGTTCACACCAAAGTACACCCCCCAGAGTAGAGAAGCCACTGCCAGGTAGAAGAGGACATAACGAAACCGCCTCTGCTTCTGAGGAAAGCACCTCTCCTGGCACGCCTCCTCCAGGACGGGGGAGTCGAACTTGGGGTCCCAGCACTGGGCAGCAGAGCGTTCAAACAGCTGAGGGGCCTTTGTCTGCACCTTGGGAGAGGAAGTTATGACCGGCCTGGAGTCCGCTGAGCTGCAGCTGGAGGAGATGCTGTACTTGTGGATGGTAGGGTTCACTTTACCCGAACCCCCTCCACCTCCTACACCCTTTGCAACTGGAAGTGGCTCATAATGCTGCTGCTGCATCTGTGTGGAATCATTTGCAATCCGCACCGTGATGGCGCCATCACCTCTGCCTGAGTCACAGATCACCTCCGTGCCGTGCATAAGAAGCTGCCTGTGATGTTGCAGAGTGGCCATGTTGACGAGCAGAGATGGAGAGAGGGGTGGAGGGTGGGAGGAAAGGGGAGGGGGGGTGCCACTGGGGTGTAAAAATCAATTAGTAATTTCTTCTGGTGGTTCTGGCAACACAGGAACGAAGAGGAGGAGAGACACTGGAAGGAAGGCAGCACAAAAAAAATGTGTTAGATGCAACAGTAAGACTGCAGGGGACAGAGGTGTCGGCTGCGAACACTCACTCACATTACGACGCGCCGTTCCACTTTCTACAGCACACCATTATCTGAGCCGTGGCTTTGCGTCAGCGCTCTTAATGCATGCATCCTCCTCAACAGAGAGACAGTCCAGCTTTCTCTCCAGCTGCGGCGCAAACATTGTCCTCACTGCCTCCTGGACCGAACATCCTTCTGGAAAAGGGACCGCCTGCGGTGGCGCAACAGATTTCCTCTCTTCAATCCGCGCGACCAGCAATCATTGCCACTGCAATTAACAAGTTTCTCCCATCATCCCTTAATTGGATTGTTTGATTGAGGAATAAATCTGTCAACACTTTGTTTGAAAATGTGGTAGGCTGTTGTTCTTATTGCAACATCCTGCATAACTGCTCTATTTATACACCAGTTTCAACACAAAATATTGTTTATGAGCAAAAAAAAAAAGAAATACATTGATGTCGCACTAATTAGAAATGATGAGTAAATATATATATTTATGCATATTCTAATGCCACATAATAGCTTATTAAATTTTTGAAAAGTCCTAATGCAGTTCATTAAAAAGTGTGCAAACTGTAATTACCTCCCACCGCCTCCACTAATGCACATTCTCCTGCCATCTTTATTGCAGCAGCCCCCCTTATTTTTATTTTTTTTTTTGCAACAGAAATTGAGTTTTTAAGTTGCTCCGAATCCCAGTGCAGGCCCCTGACAGCCAGGCCTATTCCCACGGATGCAGCCCCGTCCTTTCCTGAACTCCCCGCTCCGGATCTCCACTGTTTATTCCCTCCCCTCTCTCTTTCTCTCCGCTTTCCCAAGGAGAGGGGCCCTGGGTCTGCCCCCCGCTTCCCCTCTCAGACACGCATGATCCGCACTATCACTAGAAAAAAACCCTCCACGCACAGCCCCAGTTTTTTGGCGTGGATTTCCCCTCTGCTGGGAGTGTCTGCAACTTGTTGAGCGCAGTTGGCCAAACATATATGCAGCTACGGGGAACAGCCTCGGTCGGAACAGGCTGGGCTATAAATAGTGATGATTAAACTGTTGCAAATAACACCAGCCGCAGATTGTAAAACAGGAATGCTTTTCCTAGAACTTATTCCCAGAAGCGTGAGGATTGCTTCGGTTAAAGTGTTACAGTAAAGGCCCTCATCTCAAACTTTTCCCTTTTCTTCCAGGCCGTATTTCCTGCGTTTGGAGCGCAGACCCAGTTCTGGAGTCTCTGCTTATTTGGAGATGAGGCTGGATTTCCTCCTCTCGCATTCCCTTGGAGCAAAGAAAGGAGAAAAATCCACAGGGTGAGTCTGAGTCTTGGTGATCCTCGGTTGGTTAATCCTGGGAAAAGGAGAGGAAGACAAAAAAAAAAACACGCTCCTTATCTCCTGATCACAAGCAATTCCTCAGGTCTTGGTAGCTCTAGTTTTCCCTGGCATGCATGCGTCCAACAAACACCAGGCTGTGCGCTCCGGCGGTGGTGCGTCCTCTTCCGTCCGTTCGGTGGCGCGTTGCCACCCTTTTCCCTTCCCTCTGAGACGGAGTTACTGTCTGACTGGAATGACAAACAGGTGTAGATGTATCTGTCTTATCCGGACGACAGTAGGCTCTCCACTCTTCTAACAGCCACCATCTTCGCTGAGAGTGGGTCGGGAATCCTTCCCCAGCTGTTGTGGCGGTGCTGCTTGACGAGACCAGGCAGTCTGTGAAGTTTACCAAGTTGTCAAGAACACTACTTCCGGTTTTATTAAGCAAAAGACAGACATTGTAGAATAAAGAGTATTCCGAATCGAAACTATCAAAAACATAAGCAAATATCCCCATCAAAAGCCCCATAGACCTATTATTATGACTTATGAAAAGCACACATATAATCAGTGGCGGTTCTAGACCAATTGTACCAGGGGGCCAGGAGGGGGCCAGCATGTTTTTATGGGGGCCCAGAAAATCATGAAATAAAAATCAGAGCAAGGGATTCAAATATATTGCATGAAGGGATTTTTTTCATTCAATTAGGTTTAATTCGAAATTCTATGTCTTATTAGGTCAATATACATTCAGAATTTTAGGAATTTTATATATTTTTGACTTAATTTCAGTTAAAATAACAGTTTTCAGAGTTCCAATTCAGATTTCTATAAAATCTGAATTGGAACTCAAGAAAAACTGATAAATTCAGCTATTTTTAAAATTTATTTTGAAATAAAACATTTAGCGGATGAAAAATGGGATCCTATCTCAATACCACTGAGGCTATCACGTTATTTTTTAGATAATTAGTAAAACACAATTTGTAAAAAAAAAAAAAATAATAATAAAATGGATCCAAAGGACCTATCAGTAACCATGTCTGTTCCAGCGCAGATCATCATTCAATTAGTATTATGTCTTCAGTACAAGGGCCAGGACATGAGCCAAATGGGCACTGGCCCACGTTGGCCCCTGTCTAGAACCAGCCGTGCATATAATTATTACATAAGACATTTAAAACCAATTTTTAGCAGTAAAGATATTTGTTAAGATTAACTTTCTTTCTTTCTTTCTTTCTTTCTTTCTTTCTTTCTTTCTTTCTTTCTTTCTTTCTTTTTTGCGATAATTTTTTTTTACGTAATTCAGTAACTGAGGAAAGTTGTAAATGTGGTGTGGAAAGTTTGGTGGAGGAATAACAAGTGTAGTACAGCAAGATGTCGGGCAGGTGACAGTTAACCGTCAGGTAGTTCTTCTGTCACAAGTAGCTATCTGTTTATTGATTAATGCATCAAGCTATATGAATGTAAAATTGAATAGGAAGAAAAAGGGTGGTAGAGAAATTAAATAAATAATTGCTGCCAGCCATGGCCGTTGTAGATTTTTGAATTTCCAAGTCTGGAGTATTGGTGAAGTCAGAGCTTCAACAGCCATAACATATAGGCATGTACAATCAAACACTGCTGTTAAATTTCTTGTTTTAACTTACTCCAGAACCTGGAACAATCAGAAGCATATGGCGTCTGTAAAAAAAACAAAACAAACAAACAAACAAAAAACCCCTACAGCAATAGATAGATTTGGGGGACTGTGTCAGGGGTGGGTTGCCAGTTTGAGCCCCACCTCTTTCCGTCTTGCACTTCACCCACTTGGCCTGCTGGTCCTGCTGTTTATGGCAACCTCAGGTCTGTCAGCGCGCCCCAGGGCAGCTGAGGGCCACCATCAGTGTGTCTGAATGACTGAATGCAGTTTAAACGGTTTTAGGGCTCCTTTGTCTTGATAAAGCATCATACGAGTAATTGCCAATTAGCTATTTATTTCAGCAGTTTAATTAAAAAATTTGAATTCCAGAAAACTTACAACGACAATAAAGTCATTTAAAAATGATTTACTGACTATGCTTGTGCCACTGCTTGGGTGATTAACTGAAAAAAAAAAATAAATAAAAAAAATAAATAAATAATAATAATAAAAAAAGATATATATATACACACACATATATACACATACACATATATACATGTTGATTTGTCCTTGCTGAAACCTTTGGGAGAGAAGCTGAGGAGGAAATAGTTTGGAACAGCTGTAAATAACAGAATTTAATGTAAACCTTTCATGGTAGTTAACAGGTTTAAACATTTCTCGAATCTAACCTGAAGAGAATAATTATAAGTTACCCTTAAGAAAAAAAAACAAAAAAAAAAAAACAAGTTAACCAGTGCTGACTAGTGGACTTTCAATAATTAGTTTCACCCACGTGCCATTAATTTGAAGGCAGAGCTCAACTTCCGGTCTCATCCTGCCTACCTGTGTTTACTTCACGTCCTGTCGTTATGACTCACCTGTAAATACTGCTTCGGGTATTTATATCGTTCAGTTTAACCATTTTCTGCTGGTGTCACCCGCATTAACTGTAAGTGACTTTCAATAATAAAACTAACATAACAAAAGAGATGCATTTTAGGCTGCACTGGCCTTAGGTTAGACGATTTCAAGCAAACTTTTTCTCATTTATCGACCTCAGAATCCCAGAAAAATACTTAAATATAGTGTTAAAATAAGACAGTGACACACAATGTCTAAAAGAGATGTTTAATTCACCACTGATGCCTGATAAATCATCACATAAAAGCAGGATAAGGGAATGTGTTTGTTCACTTTTTTCTTCTTTTCCTCCCAAATATTTGGGTAGACCAGAGGCGTAGCCAGAAAATGTTTATAAGGGTGCCCAGGCAATAACCAATGTAGACTGAGGGGTGGCTGAAATTAGATAGTCACTAGAACCTCAGGGTCAATCTACACCGTTCCAACAGGAAAATTAACAAACAAAACATCCATATTTTCTAAATAAAGACAAACTATACTTTCCTATAGCCTTTGCTAACAAATAGATGCATATATTTAAACATCCACAATTTCTAAATAAAAGTTATAGTGGATAAAACTCAGTTTTGAGTTCTGGGGCGTTAATCAATCATCATTGTCATTACTTACCTACTTGTATCAATAAACATTCTGCATAAAATTGATATTTACAAGCACTAATATCTACATAAATTGATTATTTGATAAGTTTTTATTAAAATTGTTATTCATCTTTGATTTCACTGAAGACCCCAAGATGACTTGCAGAGAAAACACAAAATCTAGTTCTGTAAAGAGCATGAATTCTGTATTTACCATCTTTAATGTTAGTATATTGATCTGTATAATTAAACACAAAAAAAAAAAAAAAATGTTTTGAATATTCCACTTGAGAGTATTACTGTTGCCACCATCTGTATTACAGGGGGAAAATGGTAGGGGTGTCCAAAGGGGTGGCCAATGATTGGCTAAGGGTGGCCATGGCCACCCCTGACCCCCCATCTAGCTCCTCCCCTGGGGTAGACACCATTCAAAACAGTTTTTAGTAATGATGTACAGCTGATTAAAATCTAAATCTGATCATTCTAAACAGAGTTTATGTTCTGAGGATATAAAAACACTTATTTTTCTTTTTAAATTGCAAAAAATACATGTTGTAAATTATATTTGGACAAATATTTTGGCATTTTAGGAGTCAGACCGTCCTATAAGTGCCTCTCTACATAATTCTAATGGTGAAGATATATCTTTGTGATGTGCTCCTTAAGTCATTCAAGTTGGACAACCTTCTTTCCATCCTCTTAAGTTTTAAGTTTAAGTTTATCCTAACACTTCAGTATATTCTAAGTTTTATCCTAAGTTTAACTTTCCACAGATACTTTATATTCAGCTCAAGGTCAGGAATCTGGCCTGGCATTCTGTTGTAAACATGTTGGAGGGACAATCTTTGGCAGGTGCCTCACAGCACAGCATGTCTTCCTGCATTATCTATTAACTATAAACTGTGAAAAAAGAGCCCTCAGTGCTATGAAATCTAACAATATGTGGTATTAAAAGATTACTTTCAATTAAACTCTTAACTGTTATAGTTATGAATACTTTTGGGCTCAGCAGAATTTAAATGGAAGCAGAGCATCAGCCGATAGATAACAGAGCTATATTAGTATATTTTTGTTAACCATTACTCAATGGATACGTTGTATAAAAACTGTCATGACCTAGAATGATAATAAAAAGTTGAGTGGAAGGAAGAGATGTTGCAGGAAAAGTTGCACATTCAACAGGGATAAAGCTTTGAGAGAATGCAAACACCACTACACACAAGGGAGGCACCCAGAACAGCTATATATATCAGCTGCATTACTTATGCTAAATGGTTTGTTATTTAAAGACAACATAAGAGCATAAGACGTCCTATTTTGGGCTCACCAATTCAGAGAGGCATTTTTACTGACAGAAGATCTTCTTTATTCATAGTAAGACAGACTGAGAAGCTGGAAAGCCCGGAATAAATGACCCCAATCCAGCCCCTAGATGTGGTGTTAGCTCATGGAAATGAATTTTATTGATAAAAAATTGATGGTTTTATCAAATTCTACATGAATAAATTTTTACTTTGAAGTTTTGTCTTTAAAAAAGGAATACGGAATAGATGAATAATTTGAAAAGAAAATCTTAAACTATACCAACATTGAGGGGCTATGATCTTGAGATTTATGCAGTAGTAATTTTAACTTCCAAAAAGTTCCAAAGAGGTAAAGGTTCAATATATATATATATATATATATATATATATATATATATATATATATATATATATAAAAGAATATGATGCATATGTTTCATTTGTTTTGTATTTATATAGAAAACAAAATTTTAAGCATGAATCCAAACTTCTAAATGTTGCAATGTCCCATCATTTTTTGTAGGCATAAAAGAGGTTCTGGCTGAATTCTAATCAGATATTTGACAACTTTTTCAGATCAGAAATGGATCAATTAAATGTCTTGGTTTTCTGCCACACAGCATAATTATAGTAATGTAATACTACTTTAACTGTTTTTCAATTTTATTTTCAGACAAATGTCCTTTTTTTACCCGGACCACACAGTGTTTTAATCCATTACAAACTAAAGTATGAGATTCTTAGTGTTTTTATTGCTATAATATAGCTAAATATTTAAAAGGGTTATGAAACACATAAAACTTTAAAGTGTTGATTTAATTTAATGAAAGTCTCTCTAAAACACAGTATCTTTGTTTCTAAACCCTGAGCTGTCTAACCTCTATGCATTGTTTACGTGAGTGTGCTTGGCGTGTGGGCGGTATGCTTTTAGAGCTTACAAA